TAAAAAATATTTCATTCCACTAAAGTTAATATGAATACATGAAGGAATACAGGACATAACATTGGCAAGTAAGGATAAAAATCTATAAAATTACTATGAGTATTTTGTCAAACAACTTCAAAATAATGTTTAGAATCATATATAAATAGCCACTTTTTAAAGACATTTGAGTAGTATGTAAAGCTTTTTTCTTATTTTTGCAAAATTCAAATTAAAATATACTTTTTGAACGGTGTAGCTTATAACATTTATTTCTAAATGTTGTCAGGTCTGTGCAGAAAGACTAAAACCATGCATTTATGACAGGCTGATGATTAAAGAGAATTACAGTTACAGAGGTCATTCTATTTTCAATTCTTCCGAGTCTAAATACTGTATGAAACAAGGTAAGAGATGTTTGTTTTAAATCTGAGTTTAAATGCTCTTCTCAGTATTTTGATGTCTCACAGGAAAAGGATTTTCATAGAATTATAAAGCTGAGATGAAAACTTAAATGGTCACCTTTGAATCTGTTTATTCAGAGCCAACTCATTCTGAGCACATAACTAAAAATAATCTTGGAAGCTACTATTATTGAGAAATTCAGAACAGCATAGCTTATTGGAAGTTTTCCTACTTTCATTATTTCTAAAGGCCTGGCTGTTTAAAGTACCCCTTGGTTAAATAATTTTTTTTTCTATGTTCTTCATAACTAAGATACTTGCACCTTTCTCCAATTTTTTATCCTGTCTTTTTAGTAACATGTACTAACATCCTGACTTCTTCACATCTTCCTGCTTGAACATCCAGAAAAAGACGAATTCAAAATTAATTCAGCTGGATGAGAAAGCTTTCAAATACAGATTAAAAAAACCTAAGTTTTTGAGTATTAAAAAAAAAAGCAAGCAGAATCCAAGCAATACCTGCACCACTTTTAGTTTTCCTTACAGAAAAAAAGAATATCCAACCATCTTGTGTTTTATAGAATGCCTCATGAGATACTAGTTACAGAATACTTACTGCCAAGTCCCTATTTATATTATTTAGTTCTAAATTAAAGAGAGACCTGGAAGATAGGGAACATGTTAAAATTGAGTATTAATGCATTATGGTGGCATAAAAGCTGCTGAGAAGTCCTATATGTTGCAAAGGTGGACACATTAAGTATAAAAACGGTATCACCACTGAAGCCAGAGGACAACATAAGAGAAAGCTTCTTAAAGGAGTATGTCCATCCACTATATATGCAGACAGAATTCATCCTCTATTCTCTTTTTTTCAAAAGTAAATGAAAGTATCTATTTTTCTTTACAACTGACAATTTGGGGGAGGGGGGAATCTCGATTTTTAAAACGTTCCTTTAGAAGACAAACTATCAGAAGATTTTAAGGAACTGGAATGTTTAGAAAGATCAACAGGAAAATCCAACACACTATTTGATCTAAACCAAAATGTCTTTCAACAGATTACCCTGAAATTGTTTTTAAAGGTAACAGGTATAGTTTAACTATTTACATACCTTACCTAAAACAGGATACAAGTAACAGAAACTGTAACTTGGTACTTACAGTGTCTTTTGTAACATCAAAATGAAAACGTAAAAAATTAACCTTAATATAATAATCTGACCTGTGATAAGTTGATGTCTCTCTTTACTGCCTGTAATTTGTACGAACCAGTCACCACATTAGTTTGGCTAATTTTCCTGTTCTACTAAAACCAGATATATTTATCTATATTTATTTTGAAATAGGTTCTACAGAGGCAACAGCAAAACATTTTTTTGTTAAATATATTTGTCTCTACAGTAATCATTATGGTATTCTTCTCCAGAAACTGCAGATCACAAACTGAGGTTACCAGTGCTACCAGAGCAACCATTCAAAGCACTTAAATAGGCATTGGCATTAATTTTCATAACGAAGGAAATTCAAATTGCCATTAGAATTTCAAGTGTCAGAATCAGAAAGTTGATTTTTTCATCCTACAGTCTCTGAGATGAAAACTTATTTTATGAAAAAATATAAAGTTAAAAGACACTTCAGAATCTTTTTCATTCTTTTTACATTAAGGAAACATTAAGAAGATTCATCATAATGGAAAGATCACATAGAAAGTAAATCCCCTTCAATGTCACAAAATGGAATGATCATAGGTAAGACTGCAGTAGTGTTAGAACGTGGACAAAACCAAATGACTTAAACATATGCCACATGAGCCAAGAATACATGCCATGCCTCATTTTCTATTTTCTGCATGTGCAATACTACATAACTGTAAATATACCTGGTTAAGTGTGTTATCAGTCTTTAGTTCTTTATGATTGGAATACTGGATATAGATAGGTTGGTTACGAAGATGAGGCGTCACAGCAGAGTAGTAATTAACCATAGTGATAGCTGCTTCTTCTGTAGCAAGTTCCAAAAACGCCTGTAATTAAACAGTTAATTTTCAGTATTTACAAAGCAGATAATCTTCGTATTAGCAGCATATAAAAAACACTTGAAGGGTTTGATAACACATTTTAATATATACCGGTCTTTAGAAGATGTCATTCTCTACATACCAAATTTATTTGCTAAGCTACTTCATCTCCAAAAATTAATCTGTGAAGACACAGGACTAAATATCTTACAGCTAATTTTTTTGCTTTATGTAGCTGCCAACCATCCCCTGTTCCCTCCCCCCAAAATTACTACAAGACAGTACAGGTTCATAAAAAAAATAAAAAGTAACAAAGGCTTTTTTAAAAAAAATGCTTACTGTTACACGACTTTTCAATAGCATTTTAACAGCATATTTTGAAATTAGACAGTAAGCATACTAAAAAATGGAAAGCAACAAATTACCTGATTCTTCCCTTTCAGCATCAGGATGTTGGTTACCTTACCAAAAGGTAAACCTAGAGCAATAACTTCTGTTTCTGTCACTTCGCCAGGCAATTTCCTGATATGAAGAACACGAGAAGGCGCCCCATCCATTTTATCGTCACCTTTGAATTTCTTGTTCTCATTGCCATTGGCTGAAAGACATATTCAGACTGTATTTTAAAAGTCCACTGATATTATTAGTGCTTTATTAAAAAACACTTTTAATTAAAAATATGAGATAATTTTTAAGTAAGCCATTTCCTAATTCGATCTAAATAAAATTGAAGGGTTCAGAATAAATTATGAAGAGACAAATGTTACATAGTTTCATGAAAGGTGAACTGTTCAAGACTAACTCAACAGCTCTCTGTGATAACTCATTTTCTAAACAAGACAAAAACCACAGCAAATCCTTTTCATCTCACTTTCAGTGAAGTATCTCATATAATACCTTGTCAGAACATTAATAATGTCTCAGAAGGGCTCGGATCAGAACTTTAAATTACATTAAAAAACCAATTAGAGGTTACCCAGAATTTTTTTGAAAGGAGAAAAATGGTGGTGAATAGTGACTAGAAGAGCACCTAAAGGAGAGTTTTAAGGATTGTTTGCACTAAGGAACCAGACACAAAAAGAAGAAAAGTATCAAAGACAGACAGGAAGCAGTATTAATGCTGAGAAGGATCACACTGGAAAAAGGGGATGACCCAGAGGACTGACATCACAAAAGCCTGATGAAATCCACAACCTCAGAATTTAGTGACCAAGGACAAAAATGTCAATTATGAACTACAAGCTCACCCACAGAAAAGGAAAAAACAACTAATAAACATGATGCAGCCAACATGGCGG